ACAGAGACCTACACATGACTGTTTATAGCAGCTTTATTCCCTTTGTACAAACTTCAGAGTGTCTTCTAGTCTGAATCAGGAGGGAAAAGTCCATTCCTACCATGTTTGAGCAATGCTTTCCGAAAGACAATGGAACTTAGGCCTGCCTCTACTGCTGAAATACCATTCTGCTCTATGTGTGTCCTACCAATTGAATATAAACCCTTTTATATTATATATATATAGATTTAGGGAAAACTATGAAAACAAAAGAATGTTTTAAATTGTAAAATGAATAGGATATAACCCTGAGAAAAATCCCCAAATGAGAATCTGCTGACAGATGGTTTAGGCAGAGAATGCCAATAGGGCATTTGACTAACAAGCAGGGGCCTTGCCTCAAAATGTCATGTAGATGGAAGTGCTTTCTCCTGCTGCTTCCTCGCCACTCTGCAGGTAAGTCCAGGCTTCAGAGACTTCCGTTCCATAGCTGCCTCAGCCTCCTCCCCACCTGGCAGAAGCCACCTTCACCCAGGCAGAGGGACAAATACTCTGGGTTCTGCTTCATTCCCTGGCATCAGTGAGTATCTCAGATCAGATCACAATCTAGCAATTTCCCCCTTGGGATCTACACATAAACCTACACTTCTGATGAGCTTCCTTATCAGAGTCCTCTCTTACAGCTCCTTGAGAAGTAGTAGCTAACTATAAAGCAGAATATGAGTAACCTGGCCATATTCAATCTGGCAATTTTGATACTTTTCCATAAAGATTATAAAGCCATAAATAGAAAACCTCTGTTAATATTTCAATAACATCTGATGATAACGCAGTTTTGTCAAATTTGGGGAAAGAGAAATATATCTTTTGATTGGATAGAAATAAAAGATCACTTTTATTCTATCATGTGCTTTTTTACACATGCCTTTTTACACCTGCCTTCTCAGCAAGCATTCATTTAGTAGCCTAAATTATGAGCAATAACTTGCTAAAGGGATGCTAGGAAAAATACATGAATTCGTAAGACTTCCCAAGAATGGCCACCTTTTTACTGAGAGCTCAGCCAATAGTGTGGCAGTAAGATACCCACACCACACAACACTTTAAGGCTTTTGCTCTCATTCTTTCCCAGATATGCAAATGGAATTTATTAGCTCCAAAATAAAGTACTTGCAAATGAATTAATTCTTCACCAACCTCATCCCCAGAAGACCCTACAGATTTTTTTCACAGCAAATTGGATGCCTACTGCTAAAAGGAGAAAGATCACATTCTAGCAGATCATACAGCGAGACACCAGTTTGCACAGCTCAGTACACTTATATGAAAACGTATTTCCATCTAAGTAGTAATCGGAAGCTGTTAAACTGGTCAGTCATGTTCTTATTGGATGACAAACACAACTGAAAGTTAATCATGTCTCCTTGTAATAATATACCAGGAACTTGATGTAATAAAAATATATTTGGTTTATTCACACTCCAAAATAAATACTCTTAGGTAATCTGCCTGAACCAAGCTTTCATTTATTAACTATTTACAGAACAATGATTTTGTATCTTAGCTGGTAATCAAAGATGGTTATGTACTGAGTGAGTGAGAGAAGACATAATCTCTCTTCCAAATATCACCTCTCAGAAATCTGGACTAATTCGATTTTAAGATCTAGAATTGCATCTGTTGGTAACTACATAGCAGTAGTGACCCTGAGATCAGGAACAAGGCAAAGAAAGTATACAGGACTTTGATTCTCCTATACAGGTGCACATAAAATTAGTTTATTAATGACTACATTTTCAAGCCAGCCATTTTGATCCAATATTTAAATAACAAGCTATTTAATATGAAAGCAGAATGTACTGCCACAATGTGACAGAAGTATAGCTTTATCCATAAACCCTTCACACAATTATACATTAAATGCTATTTTTATTTAAGCAAGGCACCCCTACTTGTTCTAAATATGGGATGAGCTACCCCACTGAAAAAGCAAATGAAGGGACTTAGGTTTTTCCTATCTAGAGCTGGTTTAAATTCGAGGGAAGCCATTAGGTCCTTAGGGACTGTTTTGAGATGTCACTTCACAGTTTTGAGACTAACACCCCTAATGTTTACCCAAAACCAAAAAAGAGGGTTAGGGAACGGGGATGTGTTCAGACATTTGAGACTAGACTTCCCTCCTAAAGCACACAGGCACTATGTTAAACGCCAGTAGCACAAGCTTAAAAAGGCCAAACATTTCTAAAGATGTGACACTGCCAAGTAGCCGTCCATTATCCTAACCAATGGTAATTATTTTTTTGTCTCAAATCTTTTTTTTTTAAACATTCCTATCCCTTAAGTCATCAATAAACCTAAAATTATAACTACACTACCAAACCATAATGATTCAAAGGTCTGAAACCTTTCTTTGCTTTGGTGAGTATTTGGTTAAAAAAAATCAGTATTTTAATCCATAGAAAGTTTATATCAGAGCTCTCAAAAAAATCATTTTTTAAATGGGAATATTTTAAAGGACAGTGCTGAATAAAAATATGCAGTCTTTATATTGAATAACATAATCTCTATGAAAACAAATTACTGAATCATAAAATAAAGTCCAGATTTATAAATCAGATCCTATCATGGACAATTTAAACAAAGTTTAAATTTGTGTTTTATGTAATTCCAAACTGAATCTTTCCTTTTTCTTTCTAAACAGTCCACTATGGAATTTTTCTTAAACAATTAATCCACAACCCCATATCCTTTCTCTAACAATTGCTGCTAAAACACTGGAACTGTATATCCCATATCCAAGAAAGATGTGCAAATGAAATGCTTCTTGCTTCATTCTGAAAATAAAACAAAAAGTACAGCACATTTATTAAAAATGAAAAAGTGTTGAACATGTTCCCATATCATTTAAAATAACAAATTTAGCCAAAACCAGTTTGGCTCAGTGGGTAGAGCATGAGCCTGCAGACTGAAAGGTCCTGGGTTCGATTCCAGTCAAGGACATGTACACTGGTTGCAGGCACATCCCCAGTAGGGGATGTGCAGGAGGTAGCTGATCGATGTTTCTCTCTCATCAATGTTTCTAACTCTCTCTCTCTCTCTCTCTCTTCCTCTCTGCAAAAAAAATCAACAACAAAAAAAGGTGGTGGGTTTGAGTCCCTGTCAGGCACATACCTAGGATGTGGTTCGATCCTGGTTAGGGAACTTAAGGGAGGCATAATGATGTTTCTCTCATATTGACATTTCTCTCTCTTTCTCTCTCTCAAATCATAAAAACATATCCTTGGGTGAGAATTAAAATATATATATTTAAGCAAGGCACCCCTACTTGAGATTTTATATATATATACTAGAGGCCTGGTGCACAGCATTCCTGCAATGGATCAGGGATCCCTCAGCCCAGCCTATACCCTCTTGCAGTCTGAGACCCCACAGGGATCCTTAGCACTGCTTCGGAGACAGGAGAGGCTCCCACCACCGCTGCTGCGCTCACCAGCCATGAGCCCAGCTTCCGGCTGAGTGGTGCTCCCGCTGTGGGAGCACACTGACCACCAGGGGAAAGCTCCTGCGTTGAGCATCTGCCCCTGATGGTCAGTGCATGTCAAGGCTACTGGTCATTCCATCAATTTGCATATTAGGATTTTATTATATAGGATGATATGAATGTACACACACACACACACACACACACACACGTATAAAAAGACTTTATAGGGGGGAAAAGAAAAACACCATATAACATTTAGTCAAGAGAAAAGACATCAAGACATATTAAATTTGTCACCTGTAAGTTAACCCTACGAAATCATAAACTTCTTAGTATAACCATTTTCATAACAGTACTTTAGGAAAAGAAACAGTGGTACAATAAGTGTACATATCACTGGTATACTCTGGTTTCAAATGTATAACTTTAAACATTTTAAAAATATCTTAGAAATGAGGAAATGTGCTCAAAATTTTTATAGAAAAAAAAAATGCAAGCACATTGCCTGTGTATTAAGATTTATAGCTACTAAAGGTGAAAAATTATTTTTCAGCTCGCAGAATGATGAATGTTGAGAAAAAATGCAAAAAGCCTACATACGGGAAAAATACTTAAAGCCTCTATCTATCTATCATCTATCTATCTATCTGTCTGTCTATCTATCTATCTATCTATCTATCTATCTATCTATCTATCTATCTATCTATCTATGTCTAAGCAACCATTCAACCATTTGACCGGTCGCTATGATGCACACTGACCACCAGGTCAGTATCGGCTCCCTCCTGTCTGGATTGGGCCTGTAGGGATCAAGCTCCCTCCTCTCTGAAATGGGCTCTTTCTCCCTCCTCCCTATCTACCCCTCCCCCTCTGGATCTGGCCAGCCGGGATCTGGCCTGTGGGGATAAGGCTCCCTCCTATCTGGATTGGACCTATGGGGATTGGGATGAAACAGGCTCTCCAACATCCCCCAAGGGGTCCCAAATTGCAAGAAGGTGTAGGTCAGGCCAAGGGACCCCACCGGTGCACAAATCCATGCACTGGGCTTCCAGTCTATATATATAAAAGCCTAAGTGACCGAATGACCAGTCACTATGACACACATTGACCACCAGGGGGCATATGCAGCTGTCCTCCCTGGTGGCCAGTATGCTCCCACAGCCAACCTCCCGCAGCCCCTCCCCTGCCAGCTGGCTGGCCCTAATGACCCTAATAAGGGCCTCCAGCCAACCTCCCGCGGGCCATCCCCCACCACCCAACCTCCCGCAGCCCAATTGGCTCCTATTGCCAGCCAGGCTGAGGGACCCTACCCATGCACAAATTCATGCACTGGAAATACAATCATAATGAATTCTGTTTCCCAGGAGAATTCCACTCCTTATAGTGATGCTCCAATTATCATGATCAGTTTCATCTTTATTAAAGAGAGTTTCCACCATATTACAAATTATTAAGTTAATGATTAATTTATCAATGAAAATAGTTTCCACGATTGGACTTCTTAAGTTTACCTTATTATCTGGAGTCCCTGGAAGTCTTACTTTCCCTTTGGACATGAATTCAGGAACAATTCAATATACCTATGCTCTGAGAATGACAAAAAGAGATTCACTTCAAAAAGCTGAAAAGACAGAAATATTATATAGCCTTTTTCTCATAGTTCAGACAGCAATTCAAACCCTTTGTCCATTTACTTTCTTACACAAAAATATAAAACCAAATTAAATCCTAGCATTGGATAGAAATATGAAGGATCATTAGCAAACAAAATAATGCTTTTCATTACAATATGTCTCATCCTTTTTACATTTAATTTAGTGGTAATGGCAGAGTACAGTTTCCCCAAGGAAATATTCTAGGAAAAATCCAAAACTGAAAAAGGCATTTGTATGCAAAGACATGTATGAAAATGACTATGAAAACCATGGCAGGCCGGGATCGGTTTGGCTCAGTGGACAGAGCGTTGGCCTGCAGACTGAAAGGTCCCGGGTTCGATTCTGGTCTAGGGCACGTACCTTGGTTGAGGGCACATCCCCAGTAGGGGTGTGCAAGAGGCAGCTGATCGATGATTCTCTCTCATCGATGTTTCTAACTCTCTATCTCTCTCTCTTCCTCTCTGTACAAAATCAATAAAAAATATATTTAAAAAAAACATGGCAGTACTTACGAACATGGGACCGATCCTTGAGCATAGCTGCAACAGCATCCTCATGGGTGTCGAAGTGCACATCCGCTTCTCCCGTGGCCTTCCCACTGGAACTGTACTCCATGGTGATTCTAGCAGGCTTCAGTGGAGCAAAAAACTAAACAACAAATGAAGCCAAAAGAAACATAATGGTACTATCTCCAATTTCTAGAAGCCTAGTAATTCTGCATTTTCCTTTCAGGCTTTGATTCATACCCTTTAATTTTTTTATTTTTTTTTTAAGGAAATATCTTCTATCATCCCTTCTGGCTTTTCTGATCTTCTTAGAACTCAAAGTTCATTTCAAATATCTGGTCATAGACAACTTATACTATAAATACAATACTATGCAACAAATGGTTCTCGATGTGCTTTTTTATTCCAACAAAGAAAACTTTTATTATTCCTCCCACGCACATCCTTCCACTTCTAAGGACTATCTGTATCTACTATCACATACACTTTATTTCTTAATAATTCAATTGTACCATTTTTTCATCAGGCATGCACCTGATAACCATTTTCTTATCAACACTACCTAAAAGAGCTACTACACTGAACAGCTGTCACTCCAAACCAAAGCAACAAAATGTAATGCCTTGATGAGACTGCAACCTTCATTTAGGTGACAATTTGATATCTATTAGGCTTCTTGAAATAATAAAGACAACTCTAAGGCTCACAAACTGAAAACTCTAGGTTTGAATCTATCTTAAGTTTATGCCCTCAAGTTCATGAAGTCAGTAGGTACTTTGCTGTTTTAGCTTTCCATTTTATACAGTACCTATCATGAAATAAAAATATTCTTAAAATTATTTTTCTCAAAAAAGTTAGGGAATTATAACACCACACGGCTATCTGGTCTAACGAAAGCTCCAAGAACTTAGGAGTACTAAATTCTTGTCTAGAACCTAACTGCTCTGTACCAAGTTCCTCTTGCCACTAAACTAAAAACTGAAGAGGTTGAACCAATTTAGAGGAAATCCACTTTCTTTGAATACTAAACCCACATCATACTATTGTGCATCAAAAAAATCCTCTTATCCTCCATACATGTCACCTTAAAATGCAATAAAACCCATACTTCTCAGGTTAAGAGAATAAAATAAGCTTCCACAACCATGGAGAGGTAAATCGTACTGTCCACAGATACTCCAGAAATACTATATCTTCTTCTCTACCTTCCTGGATTAACAGAAGCTCAACTTAAAAACTTTTATTCTAACCCACTGAGATTAGATGTCTTACTGCCACACACGTTTATGATGTCTTGGGCATTGGCTTGGAAAGGCAATCCTCTCATATGAACAAAATGTAGCGAAGATGTAGTTCCAAAATCACTAGGCTCCGGAAGCTTTTCTGGCATCTCCTTAGGCAATTCTGAAAAGTGGAGCAAAAAGCAGCGTCAAGAGCATAAAAGCTTCAAGAGATATTAACAGATTACCATTAGGTATGATATTTATGTCAAAATCCTTAATGCCTCTTGAACCAGTAAGGAAGAAGGACTTGAATTTTAAAGCCAAAATGATCTGAAATTTCTGCCTTTTTAAACACCCGTAAGAATTTAGAGCCAAGGGCAACCCTTTTTTGAAACCCTTTTCACCTGCCAGAGCACTACTCTTGATGTGATAAACTTCGCTTCTTTGCTTAAAAATTTAGTGCCTCAATCCATTACCAGATTTCTTCTTTTTTTTAAATATATTTTATTGATTTTTTCAGAGAGGAAGAGAGAGGGAGAGTTAGAAACATCAATGAGAGAGAATCATCAATCAGCTGCCTCTTGCACACCCCCTACTGGGGATGTGCCCGCAACCAAAGTACATGCCCTTGACCGGAATCGAACCTGGGACCTTTCAGTCCGCAGGCCAATGCTCTATCCATTGAGCCAAACCAGTTTCGGCCATTACCAGATTTCAAAAGAACATCCTATATAATAAAAGCCTAATATGCTAAGTGTCTAGTCGACAGGTCAGCTGGTCAACCAATCAAAGCGTAATATGCTAACAATATGCTAATGCTGCTCAACCACTCACTATGACATGCACTGACCACCAGGGCGCAGACGCTCTGACCAGCAGGTTAGCTTGCTGCTGGGGTTTGGTCGATTGGGACTGAGCAAGATGGGCTAGACATGCTCTGGAGCCTTCCTGAGTTCCCTCCCTGTTGGCCAACCTCCCATGTCCCTCTCCAACCCCGATTGTGCACCAGTGGGGTCCCTCTGCCTGGCCTGCGCCCTCTCACAACCTGGGATGTCTTGAAACTGGTTTCGGCCCAATCCCACAGGCTAGGCCGAAGGACCCCACTGGTGCACAAATTCTAGGCCTCTAGTCTTTCTATAATAAGAGAGAGTGGGAAAATGATTATTAATAAAAAAAAATCAAGGAAAGGGTAATTTTCTGGATAATAAGCACTAAAAATTAAATATAGTAATAGGATAATCCCAGAGCACCAGTTTAAAAAAGATTTAGCAAACTTCAAAGATTTCAAATGTTGCTTTGGGTTAGGAATAAAAGAAATAATTAAATACAGAGGCAAACAAAACTCCTTTCTTCAGTCAACACTCCTGCTTTCTACCTATATCTTTTCCCACCTTAGTTTAAAAATTGACATTTTACCTCCTAGTTATATTTGTGCCACCAATTTATCTGATGTAGGATCTACAAAAGTTATTACATTTTAAAAACCTATGAAATAATTAAGTCTTTCTGCATATATTCAAAGTACATACTACACTCAAAAACATATTAAATCCTTAATTCTCTTCTCCAATAGTCTTAAATTTCATACAAATAGTAAATATATATATATATATTTTTTTATTTTTATTTTTTTTATTTTTTTAACAAATATCAAGACATACAAAATAGACCCAATGGGTCTCAACAAGAAGCAGATCCTTACCAATTTCTTTCTCACTTTCATAAGCTGTCATAGGTCGAATATCTTCATTTACTTCTTGTTCTTCAAAGACCACGTCTGGCTCAGTTATATACTTAGCAGGAGATGCCATTTTCTTTACCTTATTAGAACCAACATGTGTTCGGACTTCATTCCTTCTGCTTGGAAATATCTCTATATATCTATGTCAACGCAAAAGAGAACATCACAAATGGTGCAAAGTAATTTTAAAATGAACTCATTTAAAATAAAACATGCATATATAGTATTTCCAATAGCTTATGAAACACAAGTGTCCAAAGATAACAGGTGATAGTATATTATAAGCCCATGTAAAAATACTCTCAACAGAACAGATGACTGATTTAATCCTCCCCAAGGTAAATTTTCTTCATATACATTTGAACAACATTTCTACCTCATTTTGCTTCATAAGAACAACTATGCTATAGTTAATTGTGTGTATGCAAAGAATTGATCTGGTAAGAAAAGTTTTGTTTTCCACAGGTGGTTGACAATCTATTGAAGCTTTAAAATTCAATTCTGGGAAAATTAATCATATTTGTGTAAGAGATTAAGTCACAGTATATGAGTTCCTTCAGAATTTCATTAAGAATTTATTTAATGAGAATTCATGATCACTTAAATGCCAATTCTGATCTGCCTGGCAGTGAAACTCTCTATTAAATCTAAGTTTCTGGATCCAATTTTCTTTTTCTCAACACTACTTTTCCAAATCAGGTTATTAAGCTTGAAGTGTAAAAATCATTTTATATAAAGACCTATAAAGATTAGGTGGGCACCACTCCTTAATTTATTAAGAGCTCTACATTGCCTTAACATCCCCACATAAAGTAATTTTGGTGTGTTCCAAGATACATTATAATATGAAGAGTGTGGAAAGAAAAAGGGGAGGGCAATTGCTTTGCATACTTTTTTCACTTGAAACAAATTTAATAAAGACCTTTGAACCAATTCTATAAGTAATTCTGAAATACAATGGCTTTGGATTGGCTTTAGTACTCCTCCAAAATTAAGGTTAAAACATAAAAGAAGCCATCCATCACTCTGCGCATCTTAAGGCGATGTGAAATAGAATACAGAATCATCTACAAGAGTATCCACATCAAAATGTGGATAACTGAAACAATTCAAGGCTTTAGCTCTAGCTTCCAATTTCCAGGAGTAATACAGGATACAAAGGAACAAGTTAAATGACACCATGAAGATGCAATAAGATAAAAATAGGACATGAGACACTGTACAGGACAACTGTCCCAGTTTCTTCAATAGTCAGTGACATTTATAAAGGGAGAGAGAATAAAAAAATAAAGAAGGGGATTTGCTCTACTTTAAGAACTGCAGACATAACTGTCAAATACAGTGTGGGTCATGTCTAGACTTTGGTGCCAAAAAAAGCAACTGTAATGATATATTAGGTATAATTAAGATAATTTATTTATGGGTCCACATAAGATAAGTTGCTGGTAATTTTGTTAGGTGTGGTAATATTGGGGTAATGCAAGAAAAGTATTTTTTAAATTGATTTTAGAAAGGGAGAGAGAGAGGGAGGGGGGGGAGGGAGGGAGGGAGGGAGGGAGGGAGGGAGGGAGGGAGGGAGGGAGGGATGCATCTATCTATCAGTTGCCTCTGACACATGCCCCGACCAGGGATGGAACCCATAACCAGGGCATGTGCCCTGACTGGGAATTAAACCTGAGACCTTATGGTGCACAGAAGGATATTCCAACTGAGCCATCCAGCCAAGGCAAAAAAAAATGTATTTTATAGATGCATACTGAAATAACAAAATATATTTTATAGATGCATACTGATACAGCAAATTACCACATCAATGATTTGTTAATCTACATGAAAGGCATTTGATGTTTAGATCACCTGACATTCCTATTACAGTGCATTCATCAAAATGGCCAATGTACGGTACTCCTGCATCATTAGCATCTACCTCACTCACCGGTTACCAATTTCTTCCCTGTGTTTCAATAGGGCTTGGCTGGCCATTTCTGGTTCTTCAAACTGCACGTAGGCTTCTCCTGTCTTTCTTCTCCCTCTAAAGTCCATCACAAAAGTAATGTCTACTATATTCAGTCCTAGGACACCAAAAAAAATCATCACAGATTAGTGCTACCAGGAACTTTTTACACTTAAAATCAACTCATCTGAGGTCCATTTTGCCAGTCCCAAAACTAGATACCTAATTGAAAGAAAATTATTATGCAGCCAAAACCTAGTAACACCTACACATCTGTATTTCCAGAATGTTCAGGGTCCAAGCAGTTCATGTAAAACAAAATTCTCTATCTTTTTTTTTTTGTTGCTATTATGTAATAGGAGAAATAGAGATTTAGACTAACATCGCTACTAATGTAACAATGCATATTCTACAGCTATGAATTCTAATTCATATAAATTGTTAATCTTAATATGGACACTGTTATGAGAAACATTTATGTAATTCATAAATACTGGAAATCCAAATGAAGAGTTCTCCCCTAAAGAACCTAGTATAACTGCATGCAGTTACCTAGGAAAAGGAGACAATGTTGGGAGGGGGAGGGGAAGAGGGAATATGAGGCTCCAAACATGATAAAGCTGAAAAGCACCTGCAAAGAAGTCTATGATGTCTTTCTCGTTGCAACTATAAGGAAGTCCTCTCAAGCGAACCACACCGTCACTGACCACGGGGGAAGACTTAATCTGCAGGCTCTTCATTAAGGCATCCACATCTTCGTTGTTTATCTCATATACTGCAAAGCAAACGCACAAAAGGCTTATCAAATTTACATAACGAAGGAATACGCCTTTAAAAAAAAACATATCAAGAATTTTAAAACTAGTAATTTTTTAATCGTTATGTCCTTCTCTGAAGAAAATGACATTCATTGAATATTTATACGTGCCAGGCGTTATTCATTTAAACATCACAATATGTGAGATACACTTGGTCAACATCTTCATCTTATAAAGAAACGAGATAATCTCCGTGCTTTCCTTTTTATCCCCTGAAAAAGGGTATATTCATCATATCTAACTACTTCACTATTGCTAAGGATCACATGAAACTGCCTTGGAGAGTATCAAGTCTTACGTAAGGATCCTGAAAAGCCGCAGGGGGGCTTCGCGTACCTTCCACATACCGCTGCCCCATGTACAGGCGGTGCTTCTCTAAGGCTTTATGCACGTCCTGCTCCGACTCCATCTCAATTAAGGCGTCACCTCTTCGCTTGCCATCTCTGTTTAACAGGAAGTGTATTCCGTTCTCACCGTTACGGATTCTGCAGTCTAAAAGTTTGTGAATAAAAATCAATTAAAACCAGAAATCAATTGTACAAGCCACTGGAATGCAATCTTCCAACACCAAAACAAAACAAGAACCAAAATGCCTGCCATATTCCTAACACAAGCCCCCACCCCTGAAGCTGTCCAAATGCCAATGAGGTGGTCATCTCTAAAAAGCTCCACATGAAAAAGATAGGAGGCAAACTTTACCACATACGTAAGTTCATGGTCTCCTGGTCATTAAATGGAAATTTAAACTAGGCTCAACAACAACAAAAAAAATGTATTATGTCCTCCTCAATGCTTCTATGGTTATGTTTATGCGTGTCTTCTTTTGTTATAATCACAACCAGAAAAACTCTAAAATATCTCCTTTAAGAATAATTTTGCTACCATAATTTAACGTTTCTTCTTTTTTATTACTATGAAAAGACATCCCTTTACTGCATACTTCTTATTATGGGAGCAAGTGGAAGATATAAATGACTATAAAATGCTTGACCACAGAATGCTATACATATTAAAGTACTTGGTATAGGTAACATTATTTTTACAACATTTTAGGTAGCATCTTCTAAAACTCTCTTAAAAGGAAAATTAAGAATCAGTCAGATATAGAAATAAAAAACTAATCACAGATATGTATCCCTCCAAGCGATATTAAGGAAACTATGCCACTTGACACTAAGTGATCATGTATTTTAAATGTATGTTTTGCATAAAGAGCTTCTCTTAACCCATGTTCCCAATAACATATTTCCACTGGCAGGTTTGGCTTTTCGATCTGTGCATATCAAAACTTCAGAAAAAAACTGGCTTTATGTATTAAATCTTAGTCCTAGCATTTAATTTTTTGTTGTTTTAACATTAAATTTTTTGTTGCAGTCAGTCTTTAAACCTGGTATATAAATAAACAGTACACATAGTGTCACTTGGTATGCACCAGTTGAGACAACTCTCAACCATCAAATAAGATGTTTACGACATAGTTTAACTTAGATTTTATGGAACTATCTTTTGCTCAGACAAAACTACATATTTAAAACATACATAAAACATACCTGAAAAAAAGCTAAGCACATCTTCGACAGTGCAAGACCAAGGTAATCCTTGAGCTCGGATCAGATAAACATCATCCACTTCCTCTTGTAACTTGGATGGAGGCAATTCATACTCGGCGGAAGGTGGAAGGTCTTCCAGGTAGGTAGCTTTAGACTCCTTCCAAGAGAAATGAAGAAATATAAGATTTGACAACTTACTTAGAAAATGTTTACTTCTACAAACTAGTGCTCTTGATGTTATTTTTAGGGGACAGTTACTATTTCAGAGGCAAGAAGAGTCACGAACCTAACTCATCCTGTTCTGGCTTAAAGGGAGCATCCTAACAGTAGGAAGCAGGTATACATCCTAATGGTTTGGCAGGACCCAAATTTTATTCAGGCCCTGTCTTGAAATTCTTCGGTCCCAAATTGCACCCAATAGTGTTTTTGTTAAGGCAGAACTAGAGGGGTCCTTTCAATCCGACAAATATGTGAGTGCCTGCTACTCACCGTGAACCACATTTATGCCCTCATCTCAAAAAGTTTACCATCCGTCAACTTTCAGAGAGAAGGGTGGGGGTAAGGGGGAGAGATCAACCAAAGGACTTGTATGCACGCATATAAGCCTAACCAATGTACACAGACACGCGGGGGATGACAGCATGAGTGTGTGTGTGTAAGGGGAGAGGGGGGCGCGTGTAATAGGAGGATAAGAATGCATATGTAATACCTTAATAAAGAAAAAAAAAAAGTTTACCATCTACACCCTGGCCGGTTGTTGCTCAGTGGTTAGAGCATGGCCTGCTCACTGAAAGGTCTCAGGTTTGATTCCCAGACAAGGGCACATACCTGGGCTGTAGGCTCAAACCTGGTCAGAGCTTGAGTGGGAGGCAACCAATTGATATGCCTCTCACATCGATGTCTCTCTTTCTTCTTCTCTCTTTGTCTACCTTCCTCCCTCCCTCCCTTCCATTCTCTAAAAAGAAATGGGAAAAAATATCTGTTGGTAAAGATTAACCAAGGGGGGGGGGGGCGGGGAAAGGTTTACCATCTACACTAAGATAAGCATACAAGACGAGATGCTTTAATGCTATAATATATATCGTAAGAATTCAAAACCGAGCACTAATAGAAGAAGACATGAGATGGGCCTTGAAGGACAGGCTTCTGACAGATATAAAGGAAAGGGCACTCCAGTTTGAGATGTGAGGGGAGGAAGCAGTATGCACTGAAGCCCATTTGCAAAACAGCAATAACCTCATTTGACTAAACTGTAGGGTCCACTTATGGGCCAAGGAAGATGAGCTGGCAAAAGGAAGTTGGCACTTTTTAGCAGAAGGACTTGAGGGAGTCTCCTTAACCTGGTAAGCAAACGGGGGTTATTAAAAGGCATTTAAGGGTGGGTAAGTCAACAAGACATCAGGATGCTTCGAAAGATTCATCTGTCAAATGATGTGCCAGACCACCGGAATAAGGAAAAGATCATCAAAGGCAACAGCAGGAGCCCGAGAAATATGTAAAAACCTCTACTGCATTGTTACACAGGGGGCAGGGAGTGGAAGAGGGTATGGGAGGATAAATGGTGATGGGCAGAGACTTGAGTTGGGGTGACGAACAGTGACAGAATTGTGCACCTGAAAGCCTGTATAATTTTGTTAATCAGTGTCACCCCAATAAATTCAATTAAAAAAAAAAAAAGACCCATTTTACAAAACTATGCAAAAGTTGAAATTTAGAAAGATTCCAACAAGCACCATAACTGTCATGGGGAAGACAACTCAAATTTTTAAGATTTGCACTTTACTGGGCTGAGGAAAGAGTTCCATGAAGACGCGCGGTCTAATTTTATGGAGTCAGAGATAAATGGACCTTTAGCAGAGGTCAAGAATGCAACCAGCACTACAATTAAAGTGTGTCAGCAACTCAAGTGACTTGCACTCGACTGGGCTATAGAGACAGAGAAAGACGCTTCACTCCTTTATATGTTCCCATCATCTTCCTGAAGACTTACATGTAATTTTAAGAAGTCAATGACAACTGTAAGCAGTGTATCATACCAGTAGATATCATTATAGAAAAAAAAAAAAAATATATATATATATATATATATGAGAATAGCAAGCTCATAGGGCTTATTAGAGATAGTGTGTGTTTTAATCAAGGTAACATCGCCCAGTTTCCCAGAATTCCATAAGATCACAAGATCATACAGAAAAGGGCAGCAGTGCCGGGACCGGTTTGGCTCAGTGGAGAGCGTCCGCCTGGGGACTGAAAGGTCCTGGGTTCGATTCCGGTCAAAGGCATGTACCTTGGTTGCGGGCACATCCCCAGTAGGGGGTGTGCAAGAGGCAGCTGATGGATGATTCTCTCATCGATATTTCTAACTCTCTATCCCTCTCTCTTCCTCTCTGTGAAAAATCACTAAAATATATTTAAAAAAAGAAAAGAAAAAAAAGAAAAGGGCAGCAGAAAAGTATTGGGCCAGGATTCAAGAGTCAATTAGCTCAGCCCCTGGCAGGCAGCAGCCCTGCTGACAAGCCTCCCAGATCCCCCGAGTTGGATGAGCAGCACTAACCGGATTAAGACAAACTCGACCTGACCTGTCGCACCAGGAGCCGGAGCCTACAAGAGGGTGTGCGGTGACATTCCCCAGATGCCACGTACCCAGCAGAAAGCAAGCTTCCTAACGAGGCACCACACGGGTGCAATCTGATTTCTCCAAACACAGGCCGACTTTTACAAAGAGAACAGTGCAGGCCCAATTCCTAGATCCCCCAAAACCGTGGCCTCCGGTCCTTAGACGGCCCCCCTTCTCGGCCCCCTCACCCCCCAAAATGTCTCCAAACTGCCCCGTCGGCAGCGACCCGGGTCCCGAAGGGCCTCCTGTCAGAGGCGCAGGGGTGACCTTCAGTGCGCGGCCGGGGCGCCCGCCTTTCCCGGGGACACACACCCCGGAGGGACGGAGGCTGCGGGCGCGCCTCCTCCGCCGCCGCGAGCCCGGCCCGCGCAGCCGCGGCGCCTGCACCGCCTCCCCGGCCGCGGGCCGCCCGGGCGGCCCTCCCTCCCTCCGCGGGGCCGGGGAGGGCGGCGGGCGGCGGGGGCGCCGGGGTGGGTGGGGGCGTCAGCAGCCCCCCAAACCTACCATGGGCCGGCAGGAAGCAAGGCCTCCGCCTTCACCCACAGCCACCCTTACCCGGCCCCGCCGGCCCGAGGCCCGGGAGAACAAAACAGGGAGAAGCCCCGAGGCCCGGGACAGCGTCCCTGGTTCCGGGCCCAATCGGAGGCCGGGCGGCCGGGGCGGCGGCGGGCGCGCGCAGCGGGTCCCGGGCCGCGTGCGCGGAGGAGGTCGCGGGGACGCGGGCGCGCGGCCGGGGGGACAGGGGCCGAGGGCACGGGGGCCGGGGGGACAGGGGCACGGGGGCCGAGGACACGGGGGCCGGGGGGACAGGAGCACGGGGACCGGGGGCACGGGGGCCGGGAGCACGGGGGCCGGGGGCCGAGGACACGGGGCCGGGGGCACGGGGTCCGGGGGCACGGGGGCCGGGGGGCCGAGGGCACGGGGTCCGGGGGCACGGGGGCCGGGGGGCCGAGGGCACGGGGGCCGGGGGCCGGGGGGCCGAGGGCACGGGGTCCGGGGGCACGGGGGCCGGGGGTCCGGGGGCACGGGGGCCGGGGGGCCGAGGGCACGGGGTCCGGGGGCACGGGGTACGGGGGCCGGGGAAGGGTCCTCGCGCGCACCCCCCTCGCGGCGCCCACGCACCTGGCTGTAGCCCCGCGCCGGGCCCGCGGCCGCCGCCAGCGCCTGCGGCGGCAGCAGCGAGGCGCGCAGGGCCGCGTAGGAGGCGGGGGGCGCGGGGGGCAGCCCCGCCAGCCTCCCGGCGGGCCCGGCGCGGAAGCCGCGCGTCTGGGAGGCGGCGGCGGCCCCGGCGGCCCCGAGCAGCAGCAGCAGGCGGCGGCGGCCCGAGACGCCGGACGGGAGGGAGCCGGCGGCCGAGTAGAAGGGCAGGCAGGCGGCGCCGGCGCGCTGGCAGCTGCTGCAGTCGCAGCCGCAGCCCCGGAGCAGCGCCCCGAGCACCCAGCGCGTCCCGGCCATGGACCCCGGCGGCGGCGGCGGCGGGTGCGGCGCGAGCGGAGGGGAAGCGGCGTCCAGGGCCGGGGAGGGGCGCGGGGCACATGCGCCGCGGCCCGGGGGAGCGCGGGCGGAGGAGGGAGGGCGCGCGGCTCCGCCCCGGCTCCGCCCTCGGGGCGGGGCTGCGGGCGGCCCTGGTGGCGGCGGCCTGGGGCTCAGGGCCGCGCTGGGCTCCCCGGTGGGGCTGGGTCCCGCGTGGGCCGGGCGAGGGCTCCCCGGTTCTGAGTCCACGGACACCCGGCGCTGTCTCCTCCGAGCGCGTGACGTGGCGGGCACAGGCGTTTCTGGAAGGAATTGTGATCACTCTGCTCATAAAGTGCTGGGGGAAATGCAGGAGGTTTGGGACCCCCACCCTGGAGACATCTGCGGAAGTTCCAACTTTCCTTTAAAATGAGAGGGTTGCCCTAGCTGGTTTGGCTCAATGGATAGAGCGTGGGCTTGGGGACTGAAGGGTCCCGGGCTCGATTCCGGTAAAGGGCATGGACCTTGGTTGCGGGCACATCCCCAGTGGGGGGTGTGCAAGAGGCAGCTGATCGATGACTCTCTCTCATCGATGTTTCTAACTATCTCTCTCCCTTCCTCTCTGTACAAAATCAATAAAATATATTTTTTTAAAAAATTAAATAAATAAAATAAAATGAGATGTTTGCCCTAGCTGGTTTGGCTCAATGGGTAGAGCATCGGCCTTCTGGACTGAGGAGTCCCAGGTTCCATTCTGGCCAAGGGCACATGCCTGGGTTCCCGGCTTGGTCCCCAGTAGGGGGCGTACAGGAAGCAGCCAATCAATGATTCTTTTATCAATGATTCTCTTATCAAAATAAAAAATAAATAAAATGAGCTGAAACCGATTGGGCTCGATGGGTACAGCGGCGGCCTGCGGACTGAAATGTCCCAGGTTCTATTCCGGTCAAGGGCATGTACTTTGGTTGCAGGCACATCGCCGGTAGTGGGTGTGCAAGAGGCAGCTGATCGTTGATTCCATCTATGTTTCTAACTCTATCCCTCTTCCTTCCTCTCTGTAAAGAATCAATAAAATATATTTTTAAAAAATAAAATAAATAAAATGAGATTGTTACTTATATGCTGACTATACATGTATATGACAAAGATAATGCCTCCCTTAATGAATTAGTGTATTCACAAATAAACAAGTTTGCAAAAGAATTGGCTGTGCAGTTTTCCTCCTGCGGCCAGGAGTCAGCTCAGATTAACAGGTAAAAGGGAGTTCTGAGAGAAAAAAAGAAGAAGCTAAAATTTTGAACTTTTTTATTGTAGAAAATCTCAAAGAAAAGTACAATGAAGTTGCCAAATTTCAGGAAATATCAACATTTTTTAAGTCTTGCTTCATCTATTCCCACCACCACTACCCAAACATTTTTTTCTTTGCTGGGTCATGTCAATCAATCACCCTTTCAGTATTTATCTTAAACTAATAAGGACTTTAAAAAAATCTGAATGCACCCTAACCAGTTTGGCTCAGTGGAAAGAGCGTAGGCCTGCGGATTCAAGGGCCCCACGTTTGATTCCGGTCAAGGGCATGTACCTTGGTTGCTGGCACCTATCCAGTAGGGTGTGTGCAGGAAGCAGCTGATTGATGCTTCTAACTCTCTATCCGTCGCCCTCTCTGTAAAAAAATCAATAAAATATGTTTAAAAAAAAAAAAAAACCCAAACATGATATTTAAATTAATTGTTTTGAAGTATTCAAGATTATTGTATTTAAATAATGGCCTGCTTTTAGGGAAAGGAAAGCAGGGTATTCTCCCACCACAAAAAAAAAAAAAAAAAAAAAAAAAAAAAAAAATCCCACCAAAAAATAAAAAAGCAAATAACAGGGGGAAAAAAACTGCTGGCTTTGCGGATCTGAAGTATCCAAGAGAAGGAGACTTCCTCATCTGCAAAATTTAGAAATTCTAGAGATTTTTTTTTTCTTAAATCTCCCTTTTAAGAAGGAAAATAGGTGTTCCTTTCTAACAGATTATCATTATAAATCACGATTTAGGAATGCTGCCCATACTTACTCTTGTCTTCATTTTCTTTTTTTAAAAAAATATATACCTTTATGACTTTAGAGAGAAAGGGAGAGAGAAATAAAAAAAAAATCAGTGAGGACAGTGATCAGGTGCCTCCTGCATAAAGGGGGATCGAGCCCACGACCCAGGCATATGCTCTGACAGGGAACAGAACCATGACCTTCTGGTTCATAGGTCGATACTCAACCACTGAGCCACAGCAGCCCATAAAATCCTTCCATGAAGGAATAAAATATACCTATTTAAAATTAATGTGTGACAGACCAACAAACCCTAAATACTGCAGCATCCTCACTTGTTAAAATAGGTCTCTGGGAAAGAGTAGTTGATTGGTTATTTAAATGAAATTGCACTACAAATACATAAATAAGAGGGAAGATTTGAGAGTTTTGATTTTAAATTTACTTTTAGAGAGAAAGTAAGGGATTGAACCTGCAATCCAGGTACGTGTCCTAATGGAAATCAAACCCACCACCTTTTGGTATATGGGAAGACACTCCACACCAGCAAGAGGGAGAGATTTTTATTTTTATTTTTTTAAACAAGCTAGAATCAACAGGATTTGAAGCCAGGTTAGAGAGGGGGGTGGTGTTTTCTGATATTGTTACTTGGCGTTGAGAAGAGAGGATGGGGATGACTTTTCATCTCTGGGAAAGTTTATAAATAACTATTATATATATATATATATATATATATATATATATATATATATATATATATATATATATACACATACATGCATAGTAGCACTGACAGGTGTCAGCCTACTTCTCTGAAAAGAATTTCTGAGGTTGAGCTAGTCAACCCCAGTGAAAAGAAACACCAGTTTGGGGGAGGAGGAGGGAAGGAAGTTAAAAAACAATAATCTCCCTTCACTCGGAAAGAATGTTCAAAGGAAGCCCTCTTAGATCTAAAGAGCACATCACTGTGACCTGGGAGAGGAGCTGGACGGGGATGGTTGTTCGGATATCTAATAAATAAATTGAGGAACTCCCTTTATTGTCTGTGCCCCTAATTCTTAGAGGTGAACATGCTTTTCTTCTGATATGCAATGAGGCTAAGTTCATCTCAAAGGGTTCCATTCCACAGCCTTCTTTGCATTTGAAAGAAACAAACAACAACAAAAAAAATCATGAACATGGATGTCAATAAGCCCAGGGTGGCAAAGGAAAAGGAAAAGGAATTGAAGTCAAGTACCATAAAGAAACGCTGCCCATTTGTGTAAACTGTGATTACGATGCTATTCATCATCCAAGATTAAAGGAAGAAGTTTATTACATTGAGTGGAGAGAGATACAAGAGAATTTCAACAATTGGAGCTACCAGTTACTTCCAAGGGAGCACAAAGAGGCGCATTTTATCACCACTATCACTACTTCATTCTTTTATCTGGCAGCAAAAACTGATCCACTGGAGCCACACATTTGCGATGTGTTTCTTAGGTTAGTTTTATCTGTTGGCCTGTATTCACTATTAACTAGTCCGTGCTAGCCAGTTTTTATGTCTTTCCCATAGGATGCATTTGGAGAATCCTTCCATGAAGGAATAAAATATACCTGTTTACAATCAACGTGTGACAGACCAACAAACCTAAATACTGCAGCATCCTCACTTGTTAAAATAGGTCTCTGGGAAAGAGTAGTTGATTGGTTATTTAAATGAAATAGGACTATAAATACATAGAATGAAACCTGGCAGATTATAATCAGAAATAACACCTAAGTATTAAAACTAAAAGTTGTCTTTTAAATTAATGTATAATTGAGAATTTTATATTAGTTTCAGGTGACTCAACGTTTATATGCAGTGCCTACCATGATAATATCACCATGATAAAACCTAGTAACTGTCACCACACAAAGTTAAAAAGTGGACAGCTTTGCCCTAACCAGTTTGGTTCAGTAGATAGAGCCTCAGCCTGTGGACTGAAGGGTCCCGGGTTCCATTCAGGTTAAGGGCACATGCCCTAGTTGTGGGCTCGATCCCACTGGGGGACATGCAGGAGGCAACCAATCAATGATTTTCAAAATTGATGTTTCTATTCCTCTCTCTCCCTTCCTCTCTGAAATCAATAATATATATGTGCATATACTATATAAAGAACTGCAGTTTAAAACAAAAAAAAAGTGGACAGCTTTAATTTTTACTGTCAAGAAATAGTAATTTAAATAAAAGGATTATTTTAAATTAATGCCTATTTTTTTCCCCATGGCAAAACAATAGGAACAAGACTGGAAATGTGAGCTATATTCCTGAGGGAATTCTCAGAACACATTATCAACACAATTATTGTAAGGAACTGATTTCCTCCAGATAAATGAGGCAGTCACAAGATTGAACTCTGTGGGTGTTGACTCAGGTTTACTGTGTAAAGCTCACATTTAGAAAGTGGGATGGTGGGCTATGGCACCCTCTGGCATATTTACAAAAATAAGGTGGTAGTGCTTTTTACTAGTCAGATGCTGAGCTCTCCTCCCATCAACTAGCGTTTCCTCTGAGGGCCAAAGCTAGGGTACAGCCAGAGAGCAAGGCGCTGAGCAGCACCTGACACAGAATTGGAAAGACAAAGAAATCTTTGCAAGCATCATCATTAACAATCACCTCCTTAAAATACATGAATATGGTTTTATTTAAAAGCCACGAGAGATTTCACACACATATGCACATGTATTGTGCACAAACACATAGAGGTTTGCCTCTACCCACTGTCCTCTGACCGTCCATTTCTCCAAGATTGATAGTAACCAGTTTCTTGTGTATCCTCTAAGTCTTAGAAACACTGGCAGTGTTTCCCAAACTTTTGACATATGTGTACCCCTTCTATAATTTTCGTAACACTGAGTACCCTTCATACTCATGAGAACGTAGAATTAGGCGCAGCTAAGCACGGTGCAGTGCATGTCCCCACCAAACTCTTCCCGTACCCCTGGGG